GCACAAATTTTTGTGCACCGGGCCTCTAGTATTAAATAATTAAGCAAACAAGCCTTTTGACCTGAAGATTGAAATGTTTTGTTTTTCAAATAATTAACTTTATAAGTGCTGGTTCTCTGAAATATTGGGGAAAAACTTGCCCTGAAACCTAACCTGTATCAGGTAAACTAAATGACTTTCTTAAATCCCTATTTATAAACATTTTTTAGTAATGTCTAGACCATTTGTTTAATTTCATTGTGTTTCTAAAAAACATCAACATGGCCCTAGCTGGTTTGGTTCCGTGGATAGAGCATCAGCCTGCGGACAGAAGGGTCCCGAATTCGGTTCTGGTCAAGGGCACATACCTTGCTTGGTGGCAGGCTCCTCCCCGCCCCGGCGTGTGTGAGGGAACCAATAGATGTGTTTCTCTCACATCAATATTTCTCTCGTGTCTTTTCCTCTCTCTTCCACTCTCTCTAAAAATCAATAGGAAAATATCCTTGGATGCATATTAAAAAAAAAAAAACTCAATAAAGTTTACCATGATTTTATGTACTGAAAAAAATAGGCCTGCAGGTTTATAATGTTTGGATAATATTTTTCATTCAGCTCTCTTATAATAGTTCTTAGCAGAGTGCTTTGCACAAAGACTGACTTAATAAATACTGGTTCTTAATTATGGATCTGTTGATTGTTGTATTAATCTAGTCTTGGTTTTTAAGTATAAATTAAGGCTTCTACCAAAAAATAATAATAATATTTAGAGCCACTAATGATCCTCCAGAAATGCAACTGGAAGATAAATCATCAGAGGACTCTATACTCTTCCCTTGTGTCTTTACATAGCTCATTTTTTATCATCCCATCTCAGTTGTTACCAGTTCAGAGAGGCTATTTTTCTTACCATTCACATCTGGCAATCTTCAAACTCCTGCTCCCTCTTCCAGGCCCAGCTTGCATATCCCTCTGCCTTTTAAACCTGATTCTCCTGCCCTCCTTCTCCCTGCAGAATGAATTCTTCAGTTCTCTACACTTGAATTCATTAAACCAAGCAGTTAATCATTTAGTAACTCACTCAAGAAATAATAGGACCACCTATGTTGGTCCTCTGTCCACCTTTTTGTCTTTGTATCCTTATCAAAGTATTTAATTACTTGTTTATTGTCTCGATGATCTACTGGTAGATTATCCTTTGTAGATAATGTTAACCTGTGTGTATTAACATGTAAAATTCTAATCTATATCTCTACAGTAGGTCTGTTGCTTAGAATCTCAGGGATCTGAAAGAAGACTAGAGTTCTCTCTTAAGATCGAGATTGCATAGTTACCCAGCTGACCTTGGGAGAAGGGTTTTGATTTTTGCCTAATACCTCTCCTATCCTCAGTTACAATACACTCAAGTTTATGGGCTTAGGGCAGCAATACCTTTGGAACTGCTTTTCTCAGTCCCACCCATTGGGTCAGGGCTTGGCTAAGGCCTAAGACTTTACAAAAACTATTAAAGCTGTTATTTCTAGCACTTGAATAAGACCTTGGTGGGGGTTATAAAGTCTAAAAATAACATTCTAGAGGACCTTTCAGCTAAAAGTGCTAGTGATTATCTGTTATAATCAACTGAAAGTATTAGACCAAAAACAAGGATGCTGGAAGAAACATAATAAAACTCAGACAAGTGGAGCAGAAGATATTTTAAGAAATGAGAAGGGGGGAGAAAAAGCAAGGTGAACATTATATTTTGTTACCCAGAAATGAGTCATGATTAATGAGCATAGAATTAGTGCTAGTAGTATGCCTGTGTTATGATGGGAAAAGCCACATATTCTAGAAAAAAAAAATATGCATGATAAGCAGGCTGAGTCATCACTTCTAGTATTTAATGAAAAATATCCAGAAGTCTTCATAAAATCTAAAAGGAAGGAAATCTTTTTGCTTCTTTGTTACTGTGTGTGCAATGCTGCTTTTCCTGAAAAACCAACACAAGATAATGTACATTGAGTATATTTAACTACATTTTATGATCTTTAAAAGATGCCTCCATAGTATGGATAGGATATATTCCAAAAATTAGTCTATACATCGATTGCTCGAACATATCCTGAAGAAACAACTTGAATGATAGTTTTTCAGAACATCTCATAAAAGCCTAACTAGGTGTGATTAAAGTGCCAATAATATAATGCCACATTAAACATAAACAGCCCTTTTTAAATTCAATAACAATGACCAGACACTGAACAATGTGATTTACATTCATACTCTTAATTAACTTTCAAAGTACTGTAAGATATATATTGACTCTTCTTTATGATAGAGGATACCTAAGGAAAAAATATTCAAAAGCTTGCTCAGATCACACAGCATTGCAGTCAGGGTATGAATTCATATCCAACTGACTCAAAGCTCTTACTCCTTACCGCTATGCTACCTTTATACGTCAGAAATATTTATATACCAGACAGTGTGTTCGATTTTCTGTAGAATTCACATCATACATTTTAGCAGAACTGAGGATATGTGTTAACTATAAGATAGGATCATAATAAATGCTACAAAAGAGGTATAGATAAGGGTAAAATTATCGTAGGAGCAAAAACAGTAACATTTACATGCAGTGGTTTACAAATAGTTGTATGTTTGGGATTGTTTGGATTTGAGTTTTGTTTTTAATTATTAATATAGGTTGCTAAAATGTATTTGCAATATATTTAATATTGTTTTTAAAATAATCACTAACAGTTCACAGAAGAAAAGCTTGGCCAGGCAGAGAAGACAGAATTGGATGCTCACTTAGAGAACCTTCTTAGCAAAGCTGAATGTACCAAAATATGGACAGAAAAAATAATGAAACAAACTGAAGTGTTATTGCAACCAAATCCAAGTAAGAAACTTTTTACCTTTTGCCTACCTTATTGACTATTCCTATTAAAAAGTTTTGTTAGTAGGATTTTTAATGTTAAAAAAAGTTTTAATTTCTATTGGAAAACAGAATTTTTTGTTTATAGCTTTGAGATTATGGTTATTTTTTGTGTGCCTTGGTTAAGAAGAGGGTGATAAACATTTCTTTGTGTATCACCTAACAAACTGACAACATTTTTCAGGCTTTTGTAAAATCCTCTTGAAAATCCAATTTCAGGCAGTGACTTTGAATTTTAAGAGATATAAAGGTCTATGAAAATAAATTACTCTTCCTGCTTCATCCAAGGAAGAATTATTCCTAAATAATTAAGGGGAAAGTTAATTCGTTACCACTTGTTGATGTTAAGTTTTATGTTTTTACAGAAATTACTCCATTTGATTTTCTGACAACCCTAAGCAGATCACTAAATAACCAAATAACCTTGCAAATAAGATGCACCATAATTGTTTATTAATTGAAACTCACAAGTTAGCATTTTTGTCTAATTTAGTATAGCTAATTAGAAGGGGAACTTGAACTAGAACCAAGCACATTGATAGTCTTCACTGGGAGCTTATATATCAAAATTGAAGGACAAAGGCAACAATGCATGCTTTCCTTCCTCTTTTCCCCCAATGTTATTGTGACCATGTTGTGTGTGCCATAAACTTATTTTTAAGTACTTAAAATTCCAACTTTGTTGCTATTGCATAAAAACTCAAGCACTGTACAAACTATTAGTAATTCTGTGCAGTTTTATTTAAACTGCAGTGACTTTAAACTAAGCCTTTTACACTTTGAGGCCTAGTCTTTGGATACTATGTGGTATTTGTTATTCACTTAAGGCTACTTAAATTATATACCATGGCACCTAAAAAAAAAAAGTAGAAGGTTTTCCTCTTATTCCTTGCTCTATCCAGAGTTCCTTGCACACATAGTCTGTTCTAAAAGATGTTTTCCAGAATGGCAAATAAAGTTATGCATGACTGGTAAACAAGAATGGTGTTCTTATAAAGAAGTTATAATGGCTCATAAATATTATTTTATATTAGTGTTTTAATTCAAAAGTAGTAACAGAATTCTTTTTATTTTTTTGTTTGTGCTCTGGTTATAAAGTTACTTAGGTTTTGTGTGGTAAAACCCGGCTCTTTTTCTGTAAGCCCTGTTATTTTTAGTGTATGATTTTTTAGAACCTAGGGTTTTTCAGAAATATATATTGAATTATAGCAGAGTTGCATAAATGTTTTTTAAGACTTAGTGAAATGAAACATTTATTTAAAATATACCAAATGTTTTATTAACTAAATGAAATCAACATGGGATTTATACTTTTGACCAAATAGGTAGAAAGCAGCAAAGCTAAGAAGTACTGTGGTGGTCAGAAAATGAGATTCTGAAACTTAGGTAACATCATCTAAATGATTCATTTTAAACTGACTCATTTTGGTTTTAACTAATTTAATGGTTTTTAAATTCCTGCTTAAAAACTCTTCAGATATGTTTTTATAATGAACACTTTTGCCAACTCCTGAAGTGTTTCTGTATTCGTTTAGCTTATTTTTGAAATTTCAGTGCACTGTGTAAAACTTAAACTTGTGGAGGAATTATGTGAGATAATTAAAAGGAACATATTTAACTTCTTTTTGGATTATAATTTTAATTTATATTTAATCATTGTTTCTGGAAATTTGGACTTTTTCTCATTTGTCTCTGAAATACCTAACTATTAGGCAGCAATGTGAATGTGAGTTTCTTGACTATTACACTAAAATGTTTATTCATATTTTTCCTTTCCATTTATACTAATGTTCTATAATTGCTTTTAACCTTTTGTCTTGTAATTTAATCTTATTTGTAATGGTGAAATCTTGAGTGACTACATGCTCAGAGGTATCTATGTATCTATATACTTTAAATATAATTAAATACAATTAAGCCAAGGCATCATATTGCTGATTTCTGTCTGAAGACTATTCCAAGCCTGGATTACTCTATTCTTAAACCCCTATGCCTATATTTAGACTCTAGGAGGGAGAGACAGCTTTGAGCAAGCAAAAGCCCAAAAAAGATGTCAGAAGTATATGACTCTTTGGTTCTTAAAGGTACCTTATATCCATATTTTCATAGTTGAAAAATCCTGCTTTTGAAATTGAAAACATATATTCAGAGATAAAAGTTAGACATTATATGAATGGGGCAAATGCTATTTTACTAGATATAAAGTGAATACCAGCCCTTTTTTGGAACTTAAAATCCCATAAAATACTCATATAATGGTTTTACTTTACTTTAAAATATTTTGTTCCAAAATATTTTTCATATTTCTAAAATAGTAAGTTTCTTAGAGCTATATAATACTCAATATATAAATTAAAAAATTATCCTATATAATAAAAGGGTAATATGCAAATCAACGACGGAATAACCAGTGGCTGTGATGTGCACTGACCACCAGGGGGCAGACACTCAATGCAGAAGCTGCCCCGTGGTGGTCAGTGCTCTACCACAGGGGGAGCGCCACTCAGCCACAAGCTGGGTTGATGCCTGGCAAGCACAGTGGTGGTGGCGGAAACCTCTCCAGCCTCCGCAGCAGCACTAAGGATGTCCCACTGCAGCTTAGGCCCGCTCTCCAATGTCCCACTGCAGCTTAGGCCCACTCCCCGTGGGGAGCGGGTCTAAGCCGTGAGTCAGACATCCCCTGAGGGCTCCCAGACTGCAAAAGGGTGAGGGACCCCCCCTACCCCTAGAGTACACGAACTATGTATGCTGGGCCTCCAGTATATTAATATAAGTACTTCAAAGCATGCTAATTTCATATTAATTTTCCAGGGTGATAAATGTCTGGTAGTGGAACAAAAGAGTCTTTTAAATAGTTTTGCTATTTTGAAATTGGTAATTTTAAACTGTTCTTGTAGATGCCAGGATAGAAGAATTTGTTTATGAGAAACTGGATAGAAAAGCTCCAAGTCGTGTAAACAACCCAGAACTTTTGGGACAATATATGATTGATGCAGGGACTGAGTTTGGCCCTGGAACAGCTTATGGTAAGTGAGAGGCAAAAGGTCTATTAACAAATATCTTGTAGATTTTTACTACTTAGAGACATCATTAACATTTACCTAATATCAGTGGAATCACTTTTAACTTCAAAATTTTTATGTTAAAATTTTCAATGAAGTGAGAATTATCAGTAACAAATAAGTATGTTCATTTCAATTTAATTTAATTTATTTAAGCATATGTTGTTCTGAGATTTCATATGATCTTTTTAGGTTTAAAATGTTAAATGGATTCTTCACTTGTACTCTTGCAGTATCTCTGTTGTGGTACTTAAGATACATTGTAGTTTTTGTTTACATATGTCTCCTCTTTTTTTCAAGCTTCTTGAGGGCTTATTTTATAAGTGGAATCACTGTTGCTTTCATTACACATAATGTCATTAATATAAAAATGTTAACAATGGTTATCTCTGGATGTTTGGATTACATTTCATTTCTATTTTCTTTATATAGTTTCATTTTTTTATGATCATGTTTTACAGTTTCTCCAGCTTTGTTAATTGTTATACTGACTCTTTTAATGTATAACTCTGGAGTTCAAAGTTATATACTATTATCCTTCAAATCTAATTTTCTCAGAATATACAGCAATTTTGGATTTCTATAGCTTTTTTCCTATTGTTCGTCTTTTTAAGACTTCTGCAAGAAATTGGTTCTAAAAATGGATATGAAATGATAGGTAAAATAAATGATTTTTTATATATAGTCCTGATTTATGAAATAGCTCATAAATTCTGGAACTAAATAAACTTAAACTTTAGTAGGTCTCTTCTTTATGTCAGAGGAAATAACCTAAATACTGTGTAATCAATGCCATTTAACCCATTTAGATGTACAACTTTAAAATTTTTTACATTGTGTTCTTCAAAATATAATTTTTTTCAGAAGTAGGGAGATACTTTAAATCTTTACAGTTTTATTTCTAAAGTTTAACTATTAATTTTAGAAAAACTATATACATTAAGCAGATTTTTTTATTATCTGCTTATGCCAGGCACAGTTTTATGGAGTCATAAAAGTTTAAGGAGACCCAGGTCTTTCCTTCACCAAAATGAAGGCCTGGTGGAACATGATCATTTGAAAGGCTTCTAAATTTTTTTCTTTTATAATTTAATCTGTTTTTATCTCTAATAATTCCATTGAATATACCCTGATTATTGGAATTGGGCTTTGAGAATATATATTATTAATTGATAATAGCTAACAATTGAGTATTCCAAGCATTGGAATACTGTATATAAGTATTATTTCAATAAATCCCCACTATATCCTACTTATAAATTCTATCTCCATTTTTAAAAAAGGAAACTGAGTCTAAGAGAGGTTACATAATTCATCCATGATCGTATACCTAGTAATTCAAATGTAGATCTGTATCCAGAAATTGAGCTCTTAACTGCTATGTTATATTATTACTTCCTTACCAATCAGATCTAATCTCATTCTAACGTGAAGGAATTAAGATCCACAGAACTAAAGCTTATTAGAGATAGAACTGGGAGTAGAATCTTAATCCTGTGGTTCCCTTTTCTTTCACTATTTTCCACAGTATTTTCTTTCAAAACATGGATTTTTTCTTTAACTTAAAATACAAATATATGGCATACTGTTATTTATAGATATTTGAGATAAGTACATAAATATAGAAACAGAAGTCAAATTTTGACTTGATCTACTTAGTAAAATATTTTAAGCACTATACTTTTATAAACAAATCTACACTATTTGAGCTGTGACGGTACATACTTTTCATTGTATCCATCCTCTTTTGTCCCATTGATACAATTAGTACAATTAACTCTGACATGAGTTTATCTTTGTCATTTTTATTTAGATATTTATAATCTTAATAACTTTTAAAATAAAACTGCCTTATTTTACAGTTATTTTATTTAAAATAAAACAGTTATTTCTATTTGATTTTTACTTAAGTAAACAAGTGACAACTATGAAGCAGATCAAATTGCTGATTTATGTTGACATGATTCTGTTTTCCAACATTATCAGACAATGGTTTAAAAAAAAACTTTTTTTTTCCTTTTCAGGTAATGCTCTTATTAAGTGTGGAGAAACACAAAAGCGAATTGGAACTGCAGACAGAGAGCTGATTCAAACAGCAGCTTTAAATTTTCTCACTCCTTTAAGAAACTTTATAGAAGGAGATTATAAAACAATTGCTGTGAGTTGAAAGTGCTTTAATTTTTATTAAAATATTTAGATATATATTTACAGTTTTAGTGAATAATTTGCCATCTTAACTATATAGATGTCACAGATTAGAAATTTTAAATAACCTAGCTAGGTATGTATTTAACAGAACACAAAGCTAATTAAAATAAAGGACTATTGATGATACGGACTCCATTTTTGTGTCCCTGTTATTGAGATACTCTTACATCATTCTTACTTATTACCAGCATTAAAATCTATAGAGAGAGGTTCCTGTAATGATTATTAAAATATGGCACAAAATATCACCATAGTATAGCCATTAAACTGGGAGCCAGAAACCTAATTATTAGAAGCTATATTTCTGGCTATTAGACTTCCTGTCTTTTTGCATCCCTAGAAGTCTGTTTTCTTTTTACATAGCTGTGTTATTTGCTGATGTGTAAGAAATATCACTTTCCCAAACCCAATCTATTAGTCTATTATTAAGTGATGGAGGATGGAGATTTAGGTGGCTATTTTTTCTAAGATTATTGCAAGACTGCTCTATTTTAAATATTAGGTCAAACATTGCTTGCAGGTTTCGTGTTATAAAATATTACAGAAAACATATTTACAATGAATTTATCTCTAGGTAAAAGTATTTGGCTGAGACAAAGGAAAAATCAGCAAGTTGAAATACAATTTAAAAGATATTAGATTGTCAATGGGATGAAATTTGATATATGAAATCTGTCTAAAAATTAATAAAACAAACAGTGACTATTTTATAGAAGCTTGAGGTTCCCATGAGAAATTTGATGTTTATTCATTATCTATTCTGTAAGTTGGAGTAGCAGAGTTGCTCTCCATGCTATGGTACATGTGATCACGTAGCGTATTAAGCAGCTTTACGCTAGGCCTATACTTCCTTCATCATAGGCACTTTCTAGATAAACTGTAATGCTGTAAAAGTTTTTCATTCCAGTCTGGCCGGTGTGACTCAGTGGTTAAGCATCGACCCATGTACCAAGAGGTTGTGGTTCGATACCCGGTCAGGGCACATGCCCGGGTTGCAGGCTTGATCCACAGTGTGGGGTGTGCAGGAGGCAGCCGATCAATATTTCTCTCCTTCTCTCTGAAATCAGTAAAAATATTTAAATTTTTTTTTTAAGTTTTTCATCCTGGGCACTACTGACATTTTAGGCTGAATAATTCTTTGTTGTGGGAGCTATACTGCATTGTGGGATGTTTAGCAGCATTCTTGGCTTCTACCATTAGATGCTAGTAATATTCCTCCCCCAGTTGTGATAACCAAGAAGATATTGCCCAGTGTTTCCTGGGGAGCAAAATCCCAAAGTATTAAAAATAATATTTCTGTTTTCACTGTCACCTGCCATCTTACCCAGATATCCAGAATGTCTCTATTGTTTTAAAATTGAGAACAGTAGGAAAAAGGAGTCAAATACTGTATAGCCAGTTTTGTAATTATAGATCTCAGTTTATTAGATGATTCTTATATTTTATGGAAAATAATACTTTAAATACTAATGTAAAATAATATTTTAAAAGTTGCTCTCACTTCGGTGTGCTGTTATTTTTCCTTCTAGTTGAAGAGTCTCTCCTCAGCCAGCCTTCCTGTGGTTCTGGGTGATGTCCGTTCCGTCTTTTAGTTGTAATTTTGAAGTGGTTGTTTGCGGCAGCAGTCTGCGGTGTTTACCTATGCCGCCATCTTGGTCTCTCCTTATTAGATGATTCTTATATTTTATGGAAAATAATACTTTAAATACTAATGTAAAATAATATTTTAAAAGTATGCTCTCACTGGATTTTAATATCATTAGCCTTTATATTTTTCTTATAGAAAGAAAGAAAGCTACTACAAAATAAGAGACTGGATTTGGATGCTGCAAAAACCAGACTAAAAAAGGCAAAAGCTGCAGAAACTAGAGCTTCAGTAAGTAGTGTTCTTTAATTTAAAAAACATTTTAGGTTAATAATTTTCAGACTTGTAAAATATTTTACTCATATACAGTGCAAGCTACAATTTGTCAATAAGACTAGAATATGACTTTAGAGTGTTGTTTTTGTTATCAGAACTTAATACATCCAAGTCAGTGCAAAGTAGTTATATCAGCAGGCAATATTCTTATTTCAGTGATACCCCTGTTGCTAAAAAACAAAAATTATGAGAATTATGAGCTCCTCAAGCTGTGTCATGTTGTTTAAATATCCTCAGTCACCAGTGATTGCAAATAGATTTTTTGGAGATAGCTTTATTACATTTGAAATAGAAAAACAAATAGTAATTCAGATGAGAATGAATCACACTAGAGAATGCTTGTGTGTGGCTTAAAAGGTAGATGTAACTCTTTCCACATGTGACTCAAACTGACTAAAGGAGTTGTCACCAAGAAGAGCTCCAAAAACATTCAAACAGCGGCAACAGGGACTGACAGGTGACTGCTTTGCAGGGAAGGAAACCTATTTGGATAAATAAGTTCTTGTATACTTTTCATAAAAACAATCTCAGATAAAACTGAGTGGGTATATATTAAATGTAGTAATTCAATGATATGTATATAAAACTTTGTGTAAAGGTTTTATTTATAAGCTTCTTATTTAATCTAACATTTATATTGTTTAAATCTTTATTCCAAAGTTTGAAGAGATGAATCAGATTTGAATTGGAACAACTTTGTGATAGTACAAATATAAACAAGTCTAGATTTATTAGAGGACGCTAATAAGTTAATTCTTAATTTGAGCTAAGAGATATGTTTTGTTAAGAGCCTTATTACATTCCCACTGCCTTCTGTTCACAATTCACTACCACTACCACCATCAAAAATCATTGCCTTAAGGAGCATGTTACCACAGTATTGGTAAAAATCTCTTGTGCCTGTCATTTTGGGAAAGAAAAGACTGAGACTTGATTTTGAATGAAATTTAAAACTGATAACTTGGTATTGGACAGTGATGTCTTATGAGATTACCCCAGTACCTTGTATGTGCAAAATAAATTATTTTCTTCTATACTGTTTCTCTTTTGGAGATTCTGTATTAGTTACTGCAGGAAACGTGCTATCTTTGACAGGACAGTAATTCCAAATTCACTGTCAGTTTTACCTCAGAATTATCCTGATATCATCTTCAGGAACAGCCTAACTTCCTTAAATAGGCTTTTTGCATTTACTTCCGTTTACTTAGAGAATACAGAAAAATAGAAACCACCAGAAGTTTGGGTTTGCTTTATTCTTTTCTTCTTTGACACATTTCCTAGTTTTAAGTGGCAGCTGAAGAGGTTACTGTAACCTCGGACTTTCTTTGATTTTACTTATTTATAAATTTCCATGGATTGTTTTATGACTAGTTTATTCCTTTGAATGGGAAAGCTGTGGGTAGGCAAAAGGGCTTTCATAGTGAAAATTTTAATAAAAATTATAGATAATGGCAGCAGTTTTTAAAGTGATGCATTTTCCCTAAATGATTTTAGTTTTAAATCAGGCATCAACCATATTTTTTGTCTTTGAAAATTTGAATCTTTTGGAAAAATAAAATAGGTACCACTATGAAATTCCATAGAACAAATAGAGGGGTTTTTAAAAGTAATAATACCTGTTTGTGTGTTCTTTATTGTGCAGAAAAAACTTACTTCACTGTGTTCATTGGTATAATGTGTTCTTTGTCTCTTACCTATGTATTTAAGCAACTAAACTCAGCTCACCTTGAAGGAGATAACATTATGGTAAATTTCTCTTACATGCTCAACTTCCTGCATGTAAAATGGCTAAAGGTTTGTTGGCCTACTGTGTTTTCTACATCTTGAATAAAGTGCCTTCTCCTGCTATCATCTGCATTTAATGGTCTAAAATATTCAAAGACATGCATTCATTAGTTTAACAAAATATATGTGGAATAATAGCTTAAATAATATTGGAACTAAAAAGAAAGAATGTGTTCTAATTGCCAAATATATTAGCTATGCCAAATTCAGATTTTACAGTCTGAAGTTACACATAAATTTATTGTGCCTTTTATGCCCTATAAAAGACGTTAATTTAGCTGGCACTTTATATGTTCACTTTTGGCAAGGAAAATTAACAAAACTTACTTAACTTAGAGAAAGGGATAAGGTATACATATTTACTTTGTTTCTCAGTATCTTCAACGTCCCCTTAATTTTCACCCAAACTCAACATAGAATGAGTTTATTTTGCAATTCCAGGCTAAAACAAACCTCAGTAGTTTTGGTATTTATGTAGTGGGAAGGCCCATTCCTCCATATGCTAATTCACTTAAGAAAATTGCAGAATAGAGACAATGGTGGACAAGAATTGAAAGTGAGAATTGTTATATATATAGTATCCAAAGTATATATTGAGCTTGATTGGAGGAAATTTAGGAGATGCTAGGAATTTTTTTAAAATATATTTGTATTGATTTCAGAGAGGAAGGGAGAGGGAAAGAGAGATAGAAACATCGATGATTAGTGAGAATCATTGATTGGCTGCCTTCTGCACTCCCCCTACTGGGGGCAACCCAGGCATATACCTTGACTGGGAATCGAACTGGTGACGTCTTGGTTCCTTGGTCAACTGCTGAGCCACACCTGGCCGGCTGGGAATTTTTGATTTTTTAACATGATAGAAATATGAAAAATCTGATCACTGCCCAAATCTTAAAAGTGTTAGCTAGTAAAGATTTATGAGTATTTGGTATATTATACTCCTACATAAAGTACTTCCACAGAAGTGACATGGAAATTGTAGTAAAGTTGATAATAAATTGGCAGTTAAGTTAGCTGCTTTTATTCCCAATATTAGCATTGAACTAAAAGGGGCGGGGGGAGCAATCCATGAATCACTGACTAAATGAGGGCTTTCCTGAGATAGCAAGAGAATGCATTTATTTATTTCCATTGTCCTATCTGTAGGAAAATGAAAAGTGTGAGACTATTTCTTTCTGTCATTGGTAAGTTAGTATATAAATTGTAGGTTTTCTTTTGTAAAAATATCCTAACCAATTAGCAATACTGTTTCATTTATTCGGCACTTGTCTTACTACTGATATCATCTACTTATAATAAGATGTATTTAACTCTGGTAATTTTAAATTCATTATACTAGTATCTCTAGTTTATTGTCTCCCCCCTACCCCCAATCCCAATGACTATATCCGTGTTCAGTGTACATTTACCTTTGCTTTATTTTAATTTCCTAAAGTTGTAGAGTTTAGGCCTAATGAGGAGTTAGAAATCATTTGGTCCAAACTTTTATAAATAAGAAAACTAGAACTAAGAGGGGTTAAATATTCCATTTTAGAAAACTGTTATTCTTATTAATTTATAGAATCAGTATAAGATTCAAAAATCAATAGTATTTATACATATGAAGGCATACTTTCACAGTATATTAAGCTGTACTAATTTAGTTACTACTATATTTCACCTGATAAAGTGATCCTGAGAAAAGGAGTATGCCATTTGAATTAAAATATTCACATTTCTCTATACTAAGTTGTAGAAAATGTTAAATTCCAACTTTCATGCTGTATATTTTTCTCTAATTTTTAATGCTGGCTAGATTTGGGCAGAGGAAGTGACAAAAGTAAGTAAATTATTAAACTACAGAATTATGAAACAAATTTAATTGTCATTCACTCAGAGAATATTGGACGATAACCGTGGGGCTAGTCACAGTCTTTGTTACTGTATCTTATAAAGTCTGAAAATGATTATGGAACACTCAGGTCCACAGAGCAATAGAACAGTGCTGCAGAGATATTGTTTGCACACACTATTGATACCTGATAGATTAAGTGGTAATCTTTATAGTGCCTTGCCAGAGACAGTTTAAATACTTGGTTTATTCATATGGCAATTATGTAAAATATAGTTAACATCATATTCTCTGTGTTCGTGTCACACAAGTAAATTTTCTAGGTAACTGAAGCTTGTTCTCTCCAGCACCAAAGCTTATTTTTCTGTCACTTTAGTTAAAAACATTTGTAAAAAAAAAAAAAGTATTTTGATGCTGCATTAAACAGGATAACATATATTGAATTTTACTTAAAGTTAGGGTCTTTATTATGAATATTCATTATTATACTGTGTAACAATTAGATCTTTTGTTCTTGAAGTGTGTTGTCTTCTTGTCAAACTGTCACTTTTAGAAGTTGTCCATATGTCTGCGACTAGCCTGTTGTTATCATTTCTAATCTTTCTGGGCTGAGAAATCAAATAACTAAGCAAGAATTTAATAAATAAAATCATGACTTTAGTGCAGATTTGTTTTAAATGCTATTGGAAATCTTCAGAAGCGTTTTTCATTTGTTTATTTTTTGACAGTAGGATTGCTGACTATACGGTCTGTTCTGTGCATAGGTTATGGAGCTGTTGATTCTATGACTTGGCAATCCAATGTGAAATTCTTAACTTATATTCTCATCCCCCTTTGTGGAATCTATTCATCAATTTAGCTATAGTTTCACCCTGGCCTCTGATGTCTTTTAGAACTTCTAGCATGAAAAGATGGCAGAGTAATGTAGAAGAGAATATAGATTAAGCAAGAAAACCAGGGTCTCTTCCACTTTGGTTAGCATGCAAGTATAGTTAAAAAATTTATTTGATTCAATCTCTACAACTTTGGGAAATATTTGATATAATGGGAAACAATTCATGAAACAAATATTTATATTATGTATATATGAGAGGAACTTAAGAAATATATCAAAAATTTTTCTGTAAATCTCACTTTTGTCATAATTTAAAAATGTTTGATTTATGTTTCTGGAATATTTTAAAGATTTAAGCCTATAGGATAAAGTAAGTAACACTGACAAAGTTTGTCACAGAAAATACATGATATAAATTTCTAGCTGATATCACAGACCAACAAATTCTTGCCCTTTTCCCAAGTTACATCTTAAAAGAACTTTTCTTGCTTTTCTGATCCAAGTTATGCTATCATATACTCTAGATCAGTGGTTCCCAACGTGGAGCACATGCCCCACAGGGGGGCAATTTGATTTTTAAGGAGGGCAATTTGAGAATGAGTTATTAACAGTGAATTTTTTGCATTTCTTATGGTTCTAGGGGCCTCATATATAGTATATAAATATATTTTGTGTTATATTTATGCATTTCAGTTCTCTATTATGTGTTTTGAAACTTTATTTGCTATTTTTTCATATCACTTCATATTACTATATTTTAAATAATGTCTTAGTTATTTCTTCCTCAGTATTTCAACTGTCCTTTTGTTCTTTTATTTTTCTCTTTCATGGATGCCATATTCTTTGGAAGCTTGTTTAGACCAAGTTAATGGCCTTTTAGGCTTCCTCCATGTGAATAGGACTTCACTTTTTGAATAAGAATTATAGGTCACAGAAGGGTATTGGGATTTTAGAGATGCTTAGGTGGGGCATGGCCAAAAAAAGGTTGGGGACCACTGCTCTAGATCAATTAGCCCAGTAACAGTAATCTAAGCAGTAATTCTTTTCTCTAGAACTCTACCTTTTAATTGTAAAACTAAGTCAGGGAATGAGATCTTCTGGAGGACAGAATAAAAACCCTTTAAATTTATTGTCTTTCTTTAAACCCTTTTTACCTGTCTAGTATGGATCATTTTCTTCCTAAGTAAATTGATTATGCTGAACCTAATTTCAGTTAACCTCTGCCTCTCAGATTCAATTATTTGTATAGAAGTAGAAATTATTTGGGACTTTCATCGCTTGCAACTACCCCAGTACACACTGAAACTTGTTTGTTTGTTTTTTAATGAGATTTTTTTTTTCTTCCTATCATTTACCTTTTCTAAATATAAAGTCTAGTTTGCTCAAACCTGGAAGTCTGATCCCTTGTCCTTGAGATTATTTTATTTTTTTATTCAGTGTCTTAGCTTTAAAACACTAGTTTCACATCTCCACACCAAATCACCTTGAAGCCTTGAAGCCTTCTTAACATCCTCACTCTTTGGAATCCATTGTCATCATTAACTTTGGTTATGCTTGTGTAAGGCAATCATGGTAGCATCCCCCTTAAAGGAAATAAATTTGAACCCTCTTTTCATATTTTGACTCACTGCCAGGTTATTAAAATGATTTGAAAGAAAAAAAAAACATTATTTCTACTTCAGACTCAAACTTCCATGTCACTTTTAATCTACTTAGCATACTTGTTTATACCTTGTACAAAAATATTGTCACTTAGTAGGCTTTTCTGCCATTAAAGCCTACTAAAGGTTATTAATTCAAGTTGTACATGGAACTAGCCTCATTTATTTATTTTTGGTTTGTTATGGTTATTTCTATTAATCAAACTTTTTGCATTCAAGCAAGCAAAATAGTAAATAGTGCAAATGTAACACTGAAGTGATTGGTTTTCCTTAACATTTTCCTTAAGAAGAACATTGATTCTTCTCCTGGGACTTTTTTCCACTTCTTACTAGCTTCCAGATGAAGGTTACTTCAGCCCTGTATCAAAGCAGCATGTCTTCATGGTGGTTTTAGTCAAGTAAATTTAATTTTAACACGATTTATTGAGTAATGTAAGCTTACTTCTATAAATCCAATCTACTGGTCAGTTCTTAGTTCCCTCTGCCAGGCCTGTTGCCAGTGAAATTAGAATACTTAAGCAACTGATTATCTATTTTGCTGCTGCTTCCTTGTTGATTGGTTCAATAGGCTAACTGTTGCCACCAGGGGTGAAAGAGAGGGAGATGGGGTATGAAAGGAAAAAGTTCAGACTTTTTATACTTAAAATAGTTTTACATAGTCCTGGAAATATTGCAATTATTTGGCTGAGGGTGGGAAGCTATTTATTCTGGAGAGGTGGAAATATCATTATAATGTCATTAATAATGATGATCCCCAGTGAGAGAGCTATTTTGAGTGACCTACTCACTTACTACCAACCAACTCTTGCTAAAAGTTTGAGAAGATGGTTTTGCCAGTATTTACTGTTTTTATATTATGTTGATTTTTTAGTGAACTGTTTTGTCCCAGCACTAAACCTATATCAATGGTTGAAGCTAAGAGTAGTGTACTATTATACACACACCTCTTTCAAATTCCAAGTTCAGGGACTTGAGCTTGGTAGCTTGAAATCAACTGTGTAGAAGTATTTACACCATGAAAATAAACACATTAGTGCTTTTGTATTTCATAGAAAGTCAGTTTACCCCAGCACACCACTGATTAAAGGGCACCCATTACTTGCAAAAAAACCCTAGCATATCTTTTGGGTAATATTTCTGCTTAAAACATTATTTCATGCAAAGTTTGGAAAGAAAACTTAAAGACATTTATGTAGGATAAAGAATCCTTAGAAGAAACCTAAAAACTATGTTCTAGAAACAAGTATATGTTTGGTAACACCCGAATGGTTAAAATCCTGTGGTTTTGTTCTGAAGTTGTTCATTTAATATTAAAGACTATCTTTAAGTTCAAAGTAAAGTAACTATAGTAGTAGTTGAGGATTTTTTGAAATATTTTATACATGTAAACTAGTGATTTTAAGATTTTATAAAATGGCAAAGTTGATACTTGGAAATATATTGGTTGTCCCAGTAGTTTTTCTAGACTTTTATGTGTATGCCATTAAGCTTTGGCATTAATAGATTCTTTTGAGTCAAGTACTTGTAAGGAATCAGTTCTGTCTAGATGAGTAATATAGAAAAACTAATGTCTAGAAACCAGGGACCAGTTTAGATACAAAAGCAGAATCAGAGAATTGCCAGATTATCATTTAGGATTTGTTTGGGGATTTTCTTTGACAGTCTACATAAATGTATGTAAAATGGACTAAGTCCTCTTAATGAGGTTCTAAAACTATGTTCCAATTTAAGTCTGAACAGGAATTAAGAATAACTCAAAGTGAATTCGATCGTCAGGCAGAGATTACCAGACTTCTGCTAGAAGGAATTAGCAGTACACACGTGAGTATTCATTTATTGGAAATTCATTTGGAACAAAGGACTTTGATAGTCCTCAGGCAATTTGCGGAAGAAAACCTGAACTTCCTTTTTAGTTATTTATCAGGGAAATTTAAACTGTGACACTTTTTAAGATATATGAAGAAATATTTTAAATTTTTATTTACACCCTATCACCTAGTTCTCCCACCATAATCAACCATTTGTTGGTTTTTGTTGACTAAACAGTTTGTTATTACACAGTTGGCCATGGTCAGTCTTAATAAGCCTTGTAGTAAAGTGCTAGATACTAGTGATTCTCCCTGAGTAGTGTTGTATTCTGTTTCCCCTTATGATAGATTGTAGAGCTAAGAAGTGACTGTAACTTTCCTTCACAGGCCCATCACCTCCGCTGTCTGAATGACTTTGTAGAAGCCCAGATGACTTACTATGCACAATGTTACCAGTACATGTTAGACCTTCAGAAACAACTGGGAAGGTGGTAATTTTCTTTTCTCATGAAATTTCTGATAAGAAAAGAAATTCAGGCCTTGGCTTATAAAGTAGTATTAGAGGTGAAGATTAGAAAAATTAAAGGCTTTTATTAGCTTGCTTTAAGTCAGGTTTTTAATTTTTTTTATTTTTTTAATCTTCACCCAAGGATATTTTTCTATTGATTTTTAGAGAGAGGGAAAAACAGAAGTATCAGTGTGAGAGAAGCACATCGGTTAGTTGCCTCCTGCATAAGCCCCAACCAGGGTCCGGACCTGGAAGGAGCCTGCAACCAATGTACATGCCCTTGACCAGAATTGAACCCAGGACTCTTGGGTCCACAGGCCGACACTCTATCCACTGAGCCAAAATGGCTAGGGCAAAATCAGTTTTTTTAAAAAAAGAAACCTATTATCAGACTTTTAAGGTTATAAAAAACATTTTGAGCTCTTCTAACACAGAAGAATGTTAACAGGGATGAGAAGATAATTTAAGTGAATACCTTTATAGCGCTATATAAAAATAGCTTCAAGAGTGTTTGAAGTTTACTTTTCAAGGAATAAGGCAAAAAATGTCCTCAACACTTTGATGTTCCTTTCTGCATATTAATCTTTCAAAACTAGACTTAGAACAAAATTAAGCACATTTACAAAACAATTTTAGATCTTAAAAATGAATTGTAGCCTAATACCATTAGTTATCCTAATAGGATTTATAGAAAGATTTACACTTCTTTTATATTTAAAGTTTTGTTAGTGGTATTAATATCTGAAAGCCGAATACCATTTTCTTCCCCACATCACTATAACTATTTTAAGTCCAAGAAGCTTTAGTACTTCCTATTCACTTTGTCCTAATACTCTGGGAGTGCTGCAGAGGGGTTGCTATTGTTACCATTCATACTTGCTTTCTGTTTAAAACCACACAAATGCTTGGAATTCAGCCAAACAAAATCTAGTTTCCTTGCTACACTTTAGGATAACCTCAAACATTACAAAGTGAAAATAGTGCTATTATTTGGAGAAAGAATGTCTAGCCTGTCTCTCTGCCCTCAATGAATTATATTACTGGTAATGACCAGTGATTGAGAGTGGGAAAACTTGTAGGTCTTTAAATGTAGAACTTGAAAGTCATCCAAATCCACAGTAACAAATTCAAGAGCTACTTCTGAATAGTAAAACCAGGTTATAATGCTAATGGCTAAAATAGCAGTGTTGTTAGTAATAGTAACTGAAAAGCAGCAATCACTTAGGAAGGGCTCCAGTGTCCCCAGACACTCTTTTAGACACCTCATATGTAATAATGTTATAATCCTCACACCAGCGAAGTGGGTATTAATACATCCACATTTTATAGACGAGAAAACAGAAGCACTTCTCACAAGATTAGTAAATGTATTCTTAAATAACTGGGAGATTTTAACATATCAGGTTACATCAGGAAGTCTAATTTTTTTTAGTGTGTCATTAAAGTTCTTAAAAGGTGAAAAGGGCCTTTCAGGTTTTTTGGTTGATTAGTGTTTTGTTTTGTTTTTTCCATAAATTCCCCAAAATTGACATAGGTAGACCTTAGTGGCTACACAAAGGCCAAACATACTAGTAAATTTGAAAGTAAAATTCCATGGTTAGAGACTTTTAAAACCTCATAGGTAGAGAGAGAGGGCTTTATTTCTATCTTCAGAAATGTGTATATTTAATCACTGCTGAGGACTTGAGTTCACTCAGGAAGGAATGCTAGGAAATGTATTCTTATCTTTAGAGGGAAACTTGAATTAGAAATGGAACCTACATTCTATTTGGGGGTAGAGGGAAGTAGAAAAATCAGTGTATATGTGAATTACATCATATATTAGAAGGTGATAAATGCTATAGAGAAAAATACAGCAAGCTAGTACCTTGGTTAGGGTAGCTGTTTGTCAGGGAAGACAGAGACTTAGAAGATGTAAGGAAGCAAAATATGCAGCTTCTGAAAGACGATGCTCCAGAAAGGGTATAGCAGGAACAAAAAGCCCTGAAGCAGGGACATGGCTGTTACATTCAAGCAACAGCAAGGAGGGCTTGGTTGGAGATGAATTGAGGAGTCGGAGCTGGAACACACAGGGCTCTGGAAGCCACTGTTTGGACTTAGGCCTTTATTCAGATATGAGGACCCTTTAGAGATTTTGATCTGAAGAGTGACATGATTGAGTGACATGATTTGATTTTAGCCTTTTAGAGAATCATTCTTGCTGCTCTGTTGAGGATAGTTGTTAGAGGGCATGGGATGGAAGTTGACAGACCTGTTTGGAACCTGTTGGAATGATTTAGTCACTCAGGAGATGATGGTGGCTTGGGTCAGGGTCATTGTGGTAGATGTGGGGGAAGTGGTCAAACTCTGGTTGTGAATTTTAAAAGTAGAGGCAGTAGGATTTGTTGACAGACTTCATGTGCATGAGGCTTAGAGGAGTCAAGATACTGCAAGAGGCATAATAAGCTGGTCAGCACACTTTGTCATTAAAATATCAACATCCATAAATCTCTATTCACAGTGAAAGTTGGTAGAAAGTAAACACTGCCATCAAGTGGTGGTATTCAGGAGCTTTGGTTGCTTGAAAATAGTTAATTAGCCATTTTCTTTTCAACAGTTTTCCATCCAGTTATCATTCTAACAACAATCAGACTTCCGTGGTACCTGTACCATCTGCTTCATCAAATGTGATTGGTTCTTCTGCCATGACTTCAAGTGGCCTAGTAATGACCTCTCCTTCCAACCTTATTGACCTTAAGGAGGGCAGTGGCAGCAGAAAGGCCAGGGTTCTATACGATTATGATGCTGCAAACAGTAGTGAATTATCACTTCTTGCAGATGAGGTGAGTAATGTGGGTATAAGAAGAAAACTATTGTAAATTGACATATCTTCTAGTATAACAAAATGCAGATTCCTCATTACTTATTTGGAAATAGTTTATCATGAATGCTTTCATAGATTTCAATTTTATAGAATTTTAACTACTATTCTTTAACAAAATATAACATCACATAAATATTTAAAGCTTTTAACTGCTAAATAACTGGAAGATTTCTAAAACTGCCTCTAAAAATATCCTTTAACTTTTAGCAAAATTGACAATAATGTTTAAAGTCCCTTGATAGTGAATAGTTAAATACAAATCTGATTAGTTTCCTATGTGTTTATTTTTTAACATAGTAACTGGAAATGTTTTTATTTTGTAGGTGATCACTGTGTTCAGTGTCGTTGGAATGGATTCAGACTGGCTAATGGGGGAAAGGGGAAATCAGAAGGGTAGGGTGCCAATTACCTACTTAGAACTGCTCAATTAAATAGGTGGACTATGGAAAGATTATCCATCATGACACCCTATTTATATACAACTAACTCTAAATAAAGCAGGTTTAGTATCTTCCATGTTAATGTCTTAAAGAGACTGAAAAAGAAAATACCAGCCGTCAGAAACGGGCTTTCTGCCAGTAAAATTGCTTGGTAACTATTTCATTACAGAATTTATGTTAGAGCTTTCATACCAAGAATGTTTTCTTACAAAATTCTCTTTCTACTGAGGTTTCACTAATAAGCAGCTTCTACTTTTGAGCCCCAACTTAAAACAGAAGAACTGTTTTCTACTGAATTTTTCATTAATGGCAAGCTTTTTCTTTTCTGTAAAATAAATTTATTGTGAATTGATATCAGTGACTCATTTATTAGGTATAGCCAAAGAATAAAATTAAAATTTGTTTTTAACGTTTGGTTTCAGAAGAGACCTAGGATATAAACCTCTTTTGTGAAGAATATGTTTCTGAATGTTTCCTTGAACAGAAATGCAATTATACCATGTTTACCTTGTTTTCCAACAGAAGTTGAATGATTTCAATACCGTATTTCAATGGGTTATTTGGGGGTGGGGGGGTTGTTTATTTTATTAAACACTACTGAATGATTTAAATTTAAGAACAACTAGTCTTTGAAAAGCACTACCATATTTCTCTGGTATTTTTGCAGTAAAGGTTCTAAAACATCTGAGGCAAGTTCAGTTCACTAAGCAACTGAAGATTGCTTAGTTTTAAGATTGTTCAGTTTAAGCATGATCAGAATTGGACTCATTAAGAACATACTGCAGTACAATACAGAGAATTTGTTCTTACTGAACAACAAATCTTTATAAAAATACAAACTAGTGAAACTACATTCATCATAAAGTGTATACAAACAATCCACTTTTGGTTACTCTGAGCTTACTAATAAAATTTTGAAAACTTAACTTATAAAATATTGATAAACTTAGTTTATCTTGATCAGGATCTGTAGTTATGAAACACACACTTACTGAAATTATTAGTGACACACTTTGAGTCAGAAAATTGTTATTTGGACCATTGCTGTGAATCAACAGATTGTGTCCATGTTAGAATTTCTGTCATTCTTATTCTATCATTTATTAAGCATTTGTTGAGGTCCAGGTACTGTGTTGATAACAACAAGATGCAGAATAAGTGTCACTGTCATGATAGGATAAGGTACTGTGTTTCGGTGCTTTGGGCGTCACCTGATTGAGATTTGGTGAGTGGGAGGTGGTTTGAAGAGGAAGTGCTTCAGAGAGGAAAAGATGTGCCAGGCCTGGAGCCAAAAGAGTATAGCACATTCTGACAACGGAAAGTCATTCAGGCTAACTTACACAAGAATTGCAGAGATGTCACTCACTTCAGGGAATGTTAGTGTATCAAAATGATAATTTTTTTTGGTACTTTAAAAAATGATAAATACTTAACACAAAAGGATATTTCAAAATGGTGTTTAAGAGTTCCTAATAACTTGGTAAACATGTTGATAATTTAGCTCAGTCTAAACTTTTAACAGTAGTTGTTACCCTTTTATTTCGGTGCTATGAGACAAATTACTCTGAGATTTTATAGTTGTACAAGACACTTTGATTCACACTGTGAATTGTCATACTCAAGCCAAAAGCTGCTCAAGCTGGTTAACTATAGAACCAAGTGAGCAAAGCTTCCCCCCCCCCCAACCCCCCCAGAAAGGAAGTTCTACAGACAGTCTAGAGTACTATCTATTATGTTTTATAAAGTCAAGATTTAGGCTTTAAAGATCATTAAAAAAAAATTCAGGTCAACTTTTAAAACAGCAACTATAAATCCAGTTTATAGGAAGTAGAGTAATGAAGGGGAGAGTATGACCACTGGAATGGAATGGTCCCTGGATTCAAATCCAGTCTTCCTCACATACTGTGCTCTTTGAACTTCAACAGAGATAATGCATGAACTGCTGTTTCCTTATTAGTAAAATGGGGATAATTATGCCACCTTAAGGTTATTATTATCTTGTATGTTAGGCAATTTTTAGGGAAAGTTTTGACACAGGAAATTCTCTACCAGTTTTCACTTTTTAGCCCTTGTAGCTTCCTGACGTACCAAGACTGTAGGCCTCGTTTATGACTGAACCAGAGATACCTCTTTTATATATATGATATGATATGATCTGTTCTACTCTTGTCCTATCCTCCACTCTCTTTAAATCAGACTCAGATCTAGGTTTAACCTCACCACAGTCAGTGTAAAATTTTATTAGACCCTTCTGCCTTCCACTAAATGAGTATTGACTATAGTAACCCAGTGATGTACATTAGCCTTCAATAATATTATGGTTCTAAGGCTTCTTGTGCCTTTGTTTACCACAAATCTACCACAACATGTGGGCTTATTCTTCTGTTTATTGCTTTTTATTTTAATGGATTTTTGTGTGCTTGTTGGGGATGGGGGTTAGTTTTATTTTGGTTTTGGCTTATTTTGTAAAGTCATAGATTTAATTTTTACTCAGGTAAAGGCCCATAAAGGTTCTCTAGGCATAGAAGAAAAGCTTGGGAAGCCTATTAATTCACGGTGCAATTCAGAATTATTTAAATAAACTTTGTGCCCCAGAGCTTAGGTATAGTAACATGTGAAGGATACACATGAATAAAAAATAAACTTGGAGATAACGGTAGGCTCTTTTACAAATAAAAATAAGTGGTTGGGTTGTCTCTACATTTGTCCTTAAAGTAATCTAACCTAAAAGTCCATGATGTTAAATCTGTTTTTTTATGGTGCTAATTAGAAGAATTCATATTATAGAAGATTAGGGAAATAGGAATGTGCCTCACTCTGGGTAACGTGAAAAATAAACCTGAATCCGGTGGGTTAGAGTCCATCCTCCTAGGATGCTGTTACCTTCCACCAGCACAAGCAGGAGCTGGTGTTGGGAGGACATTTTCTGAGATAAATTGGGGAGAGGGTGATGGAATGCTGGACAAGAAGCTACAGCATTGTTTATTTAGGCTCAGCTCTGTTGACAGGAGTCCTCAAAAATCTCTACTGAACCTCCCAAATGCCTGAACTTTTGAAATATGTTGTCGTAGTGTGTAGCACTTCAAGCCTGGGTGAGGAGCCATAATAAATAGATGGCTTTGCAGTTTGACCTACAGCCAGCTTTGTCTCAACCCCTTCTCCACTTCTTGAGACTCAAAAGGGGAGGAAGGGTATTTAAGAGCACACCAGCCCTTTTCCCCACATTGTCCTAAGTAGGAAGCCTACTCAGTAGGGCAGTGGTTCTCAGTGTGAGACCCCAAGATGGACAATAACAGCATACCTAGGAACTGTCAAAAATGCTAATTCATATTTCCAAGTACTTCCTACATTAAGTTGTACTGATTTTTTTTCTTCAATGAGCTGTAGAACTAGTCTTAGTTCTTCATGTAACATTTTAAGACAAAAATTGTCTTCTAGCATTAATCAAAATTATAGTTTTATAATTTATTTGTTTAGTATATATTGATCACTTAAGAATGCAGGCTTTCTGAGATGCAGGCCATAATTCTTTTGATCACAGTTGTTAGCTTAAGGCTAGCACATAGTGTGTACTTAATATTTGTTGTGTGTGGGGGAAAAAAACTATTTCTAAGCCATATCCAAGATCTACTGAATCAAACTCTGAGGTAAGGACCTAGCAATCTGTTTTTACAAACCACATGGTGATTGTTCTGTTAAGGTAGAGAACAACTTCAGTAGAACAAGGGAAACTTCCCTGTCATCTTCAGGCCTATTATCTGAAATCACTTGAGAAATTCCTGCCTTCTGCACCTGTGCCAACAACAGTGCTGTCTTCAGTGTAGAGGAATCTTGTTGGGCTATATTATAAAGTGGATGTGAAGGTAGAGTATAGAATGCCAGTACTTGGTTGCTGTGGGAGTTAGTGGGATAGTCCGAGAAAGGTAAGCCCAACAACCCCCATTTCCACTCAGTGCAGTGGCAGTTTGACATCAGAGCACCCCAACAAACCATTATAGTGGTATCAGACTAACGTGCATCTCTGACTCAGGTTGCTAAGCTCTGCTCTCATTCCCACTTCAAAGGAGGTTTGTTTAAGAATTGTTAATGCTTTCTTAATAAAAGTCAGATGTGGTGGTAAAAAGGAAAAAAATGTGAAAATATAGCTTAAAAGATAAAAATAACCTATAATACCACCATCCAGGGAGAACTGTTACTTAGGTGTATAGCCTTCCAGACTCTTCCATGCTTTTGTAGATATTTTTAAGTGGGATCAACTTGTACATACTGTTTTGTAACTTTTTCACTTGACAACACCATGACCATCCTGCTGTGTCAAATGTATTGCTGCATCTTTTTTAATAGCTGCATGGTATTCCATCATATGTGCCACATTTTACTAAACGACTGTCAATTTCTAAGTTGTTTCTAATTTTTCACTAATAAACTGCTTTAAAGAACATCGTGTTACTAATCTTTTATGTGTTCTTAATATTCCTTAAGATGAGTACATGGAAGTGGAATTGCTAGTGGAAAGAAGATGCCAATTTTTAAAAGCTTTTGTTACTGCCACTTTGACCCCTAGAAAACTTAATCAATTTATACATTTTTATTAGCAGTGTATGAAATTGTTTCTTTTTGGAGGGCTTCCAACTGAATGTTCTTATAGCCTTCTGTTTAAAAATAAAGGGTACGAGGACGATAAAAGGACTCTGCAGCCCTAGCCTGTGTATTCAGTGGTTAGAGCATCAGCCCACACACCATAGGCTGGCAGGTTTGATTCCCAGTCATGGGCACATACCTCAGTTGCAGGTTTGACCTGGTCTCAGTCAGGGCGCCTGTAGGAGGCAACCAGTCGATGTGTCTCTCTCACATCAATGTTTGTCCCCCCAACCCCCACCCTACTCTGTCTCTGAAAAGCAATGGAAAAAATATCCTCCAGTGAATTTAAAAAAAAATAAGGACCCTGCAAAATTGAAACCAAGATCAATCTTAAATTATTCTAACATAGTTTACTAGTCTACCTTCTATTATGTATTTTGTCATTCTTTGGGAATGTTTGTAGTATTAGCTTGCCTCTTACTTTTATTCGATCTTCTGGAACCACTATCCCCTTTCTGACTTTTGCTGAAATGGTAGGAGCACAATCTTAAGTAGACTGGAATCTTGTAAATTTGATGCAGGCTTACTGTTGGTTTGGGGGAGCATGGCCATAATAGAGAAAGGAGAAACTTTGAAGGGCAGACAGACACTGCCTCTCCCACTTGGTTTCCTGGCTTTGTGTCAGTCAACCTCTTTGAGCTTGTTTGCTTATCTCTAGAAATATAAGCCTCTGTAAGGTTGAAAGGAGTTGCCATATTATAGACAAAGTGCCT